AAGAATGAAAAGAAGAAGAAGAAGAATGAAAAGAAGAATGAAAAGAAGAAGAAGAATGAAAAAGAAGAAGAAGAAGAAGAATGAAAAGAAGAATGAAAAGAAGAAGAAGAAGAATGAAAAGAAGAATGAAAAGAAGAAGAAGAAGAATGAAAAGAAGAATGAAAAGAAGAAGAAGAAGAATGAAAAGAAGAAGAATGAAAAGAAGAATGAAAAGAAGAAGAAGAATGAAAAAGAAGAAGAAGAAGAATGAAAAGAAGAAGAATGAAGAAGAAAAGAAGAAAAGAAGAATGAAAAGAAGAAGAAGAATGAAAAGAAGAAGAAGAAGAATGAAAAGAAGAAGAAGAAATGAAAAGAAGAATGAAAAGAAGAAGAAGAAGAATGAAAAGAAGAATGAAAGAAGAAGAAGAAGAATGAAAAGAAGAAGAAGAGGAATGAAAAGAAGAATGAAAAGAAGAAGAAGCAGAATGAAAAGAAGAAGAATGAAAAGAAGAATGAAAAGAAGAAGAAGAATGAAAAGAAGAAGAAGAAGAAGAATGAAAAGAAGAATGAAAAGAAGAAGAAGAAGAATGAAAAGAAGAATGAAAAGAAGAAGAAGAAGAATGAAAAGAAGAAGAAGAATGAAAAGAAGAAGAAGAAGAATGAAAAGAAGAAGAAGAAGAATGAAAAGAAGAATGAAAAGAAGAAGAAGAAGAATGAAAAGAAGAATGAAAAGAAGAAGAAGAAGAAGAATGAAAAGAAGAAGAAGAATGAAAAGAAGAAGTATTCCAGTACAGCAAAAAGTGTATCTGCAGAGAGCTCCGCTATTTCTGACAGTTCTCTGACAGTTCCTTCACATTTACAGCGGTTGAAACATTGTATCTATTTATTTCCGAATAAAAACATTTGTATCCTAAATGGAAACAAATAGATACAATGTTTCAACCGCTGTAAATGAACTGTCAGAACTGTCAGAAATAGCGGAGCTCTCTGCAGTGACACTTTTGCCGGCTGATCGGGAAAAATTTGATTCGTGCACCCGAAGTTGGCTAAAATTCGGATTCGATGCGAATCAAATTTTTCCCGATATTCGAAACGAATTCCACTTCGCCTGGTTCGATTCGCTCATCTCTATCACTACCATACACTAGTGGAGTATTAGTATAGGGTACAGCACGGCACAGTTCATGGCACATATTTACACAGGTTCTCAAAAGATGTTAGATAGTCAGCAAACTGGCTATCACATTTTGAGAGACTCTACAAACTGTTTTAAAAAGTTAAAGTTTAAAAAAAATATAAATAAATAAAAAGTCCAAAAAAAATAAAAAAGTTTAAAAACCAAAAATAGTTATAGTTTTTTTTTTGTTGCCATTGTTGTTACTGTTCTACTGTTACGATTTTACTGTTTTATTGTTACTGCTTTATTGTTAACCATTGCTGTTTTCTTTCTTTGTCATTCAACTGCAGCACCGACCTGTTTATTCTGACAGCAACAGGAACTTACTTTCAGAATATACATAAGTCAGTGTGGGCAGCGCTGTTGGATGAGATTTTTCATCCGTGGTTAAAAAAAAGAACATATATGCTGAAGCATGGGGGCCTGGGGATGGCCAGTGGGTGGATGGTCCCTATGCTTCGGCATATATATTTTATAATTTTTTTGGCACATTTCATGTGTGCCCACCATTAGAAATGGGTGGATGCAGGGAGGTATATTCTAATGGTGGGCATGCCACACACTTTTCCTGGCAGAGATGTCTTCTCTTTTTTTCAAAAAAAAAAGAACATAGCATATAGACCCAACAAAGACCAGCAACGTACTGGTATATCACTGGACTTTGAGTGGTTATACCAGGATGATGCCTGCAGTTGCAACCATCATCCTGGCATAGTTTTTTTCAGCTGGCAATTGCCTTTCATGTAAAAGCAATCATAGTGGCTAATTAGCTGCAGGATTGCTTTTAGAAGCAGCTAGAGAAGATGCCCCCCCTCCCCCGTTGCCTTCCACGGCCTTCTTGGGCAGTCCCGTGCCATCGGGGAAACAGCCGGTGTTTCTGCCAGCTGACAATAGAGCTGATTGAAGCCCGGAATGGTGCCATCATCTCTATAGTCTAAACAATCGGAAGCTACGAGCATTTCATCACTTCAGTTTCGCAGGATATAAACAGCGCCATTTGCAAATTGGGAAAGCATCTGATCACACCGATCTTGGTGAGATTAGATAACGTAAGGGCAGAGGAGATATCTAGAGTCTGATAGACCCCAGATTTCTCAAAAAAGAATATATGACAATGCCTATTGAAGTTATTGGGGATTTGCCCCCTGCGAACACACGCACGTTGACATTGTGCCAGTATGTAAACAATGGTTGCACCATGCATGTGAGTTATCGCCGCAAACGTCAGATCAAGGGCAGTAATTCTAGCACTAGACCTTCTCTGTAAATCTAAAATGGTATCTTTTAAAGGCTTTTCAAGCATTGCCTATGGATATTAAAAATGTATGCAGTTTGTCGCCATTGCACGCGGCATGCACAGTTTTAAAGCATGTCATGTTTGGTATCTATTTGCTCAGCATACAATCATATTTTATATTTTACCAGATAATTGGCCAATATATTGTGTTTTTGTGCATTAAAAGTTTGAAACATCGTTTGAAAAATCACTGCACGAGTACTATGTGACATAAAAAATTGCAGCACCTACCATTTTATTCACTAGGGTGTCTGCTTTTAAAAATATATAATGTTTGGGGGTTCAAAGTAGTTTCCTAGCAAAAAATACAGATTTTTTTTTGCATGTGAACAAAAAGTGTCAGAAATAGCTCGGTCTTCAGGTGGTTAGAAGAGTGAGCGATGCGTGGCATAAACTTCTAATGCTAGGCATAAAATGCCTCCAGTTCCCCAAAACAACTCCTTTTTGGAAAGTAGACACCCCAAACTGTTTGCTGAGAGGAATGTTGAGTCAATAGAAGAATTTATTTTTTTACTACAAGTTTTTGGAAAATGACAAAAAAAATATTTTTTTTTACACAAAATTGTCACTTAAATTATTTATTTCTCACACAAGCCATAGGTATATGTGGAATTACTCCCCAAAATACATTCTGCTACTTCTCCCGAGTTGGGATATACCAATATGTGAGAGCATAGTCACATACAGGACCCTGAAATTCAATGACCACTTTGAAAGCCTGAAGGTGCATAACTTCCTCATTACACTTCCTCACTACTGCATTAAAGCAAAAACCTTCAAATACCAGTGCCCCCAGCCCACATCCCTATCACCTACCTGTATAGATTCAGCGTTGTGTCCAGCTTCTATAGATGCACACAGCCCTGGATCAAGCCTACATGAGTGCCCATATAGCAAACAGCTTACTATATGGCCACTTGGAAGGGAGGAGGAGCCCAGAGTGCCAGTGTAGGACACCAGAAGAGGAGGTTTGGGGCCACTCTGTGCAAAACCATTGCACAGAGCAGACAAGTATAACATGTTTGCTGTTTTAAAAAAATAAAAATGATCTTTTACAATCACTTTAAAGAACTTATACTTGTAGTACACATTGAAAAAACTACAAGACTTCACTGTGTGTAGGGCCGTGGATAAGGGGGTACCACCAGTCCTTCTATACAGGGCCCAGGCTAGCAGGGGGGCCCCTGCAGAGGGGTGAATCGGATGTGGGCAGGGAGGGTGATCGACACAGCAGGGGGCAATGACTGGAACAGATCCCCTGTATGGCTCTCTGCAGCAACTGAAAGCTGGCTTCTTCTCCTCTCCCTCCCACTAGCTTTCAGCTGCTGCAGAGAGAGCCATACAAAGGATCGGTTCTAGTAATTGCCCCCCACCACACCCATAACCCTCCCTGTGCATCATACATTTACCCCTGTTGCCCAGGCCCCCCTGTGTGCCCCCACCTCCACAGTGTTACCAGCTTCCCTCCCCTCCACTGGCATCTGCAAGCACACAATAGGATCTTTAGGGATGGAAAGTGGGGGAAGAGCCCCGTAAATATGTCACATTTACCAGCTCTTTGTTTCCTGAATGAACACAATGAGTGATCGGTACTAATCACTCACTGTGTTCATTTATAACTGAAGCCAAGTAAACTGTGGGGGGTGGGGGGGTCTTTTTTTTTTTAAGGAGGAGGGCCCAGTCAGGTTGGCTGTATGGGGCTCCGTGGGTTTCTATCAGCAGCCCTGACTGTGTGCAATACCATTAGTGTCTGCATGGCACTGATATTTGTGAATGATTGCACTACAAGCACAGTGGTTTGCATTCTATTAGTTGTAGTATTACTAGATCTCTGTTGAGTACTTGATTCAAAAGCCATATAGGTTGCACACTAAATGATGTGTCTCTTTCTGAAGCTGAAGAAACACTTAAAGCAGTATCAAAGCCAAAAGCAAAGATATATTTATTACAAGTATTTATATAGCACTGTCAATTTACACAGGGCTTCAAATATATATTGTAAATTCACATCAGTTCCTGCCCTCAAAACTAGGACCAAATATCTTTGGAGTGTGGAAGGAAACCCACACACAGGGAGAAATGCAAATTCCAGGCATTGCATGCGTGCTCCAAACCCAGAAGAGCAAAGCAACGTATGGGTATGTTGCTTTGCCTGCAGCTACCGGTTAATCACCACTGAGTTGTTTTATTTTTTACTAAATAAACCTAAATATGACCCTAGTGCTGAAAGGCAGAAGTACAAACCACTTTGCTACTGTAGCAGATTAAAATTCCTTAAATGGTGGTGGCTGCATTAGTTTTCTTTTTAGAGTAGTTTTTTCCTTTTTTTTTTTCTCCTTGTGATCCTGCCAGTAACACACTGGAGGATGTAATAGCAGTTACAAGGTCTATGTCTTAAGCCAGTCAAGTCAATTAGAAAAATTGTCCTGGTATTTATTGTTTAAACATAAGCCTTCTGTTGTAATATTATGAAATCAACTATATTGCCAAAAGTATTGGGACACCCCTCCAAATCATTGGATTAAGGTGTTCCAATGACCTAGGCACCTAGGCATGCAGACTCCTTCTACAAACATTTGTGAAAGAATTGGTCGCTCTCAGGAGCTCAGTGAATTCAAGAGTGGTACCATGTTAGGTTGCCATCTGTGCAATACGTCCACCCATGAAATGTCCTTGCTACTAATGATTTCACGCAGATGTCACCAACTGTCTGCAAAGTCAATAGCTAAAGACCTTCAAACTTTCTGTGGTCTTCCAAGTAGCACAACAACAGTGCATAGAGAGCTTCATTGAATAGGTTTCCATGGCCAAGCAGCTGCATCCAAGCCTTACATCACCAAGTGCAATGCAAAGCATTGGATGCAGTGGTGTAAAGTACACCACCACTAGACTCTACAGCAGTGGAGATGTGTTCTCTGGTGTGATGAATCACGCTTCTCTGTCTAGCGATCCAATGAATGTGTATGGATTTGGCGTTTACCAGGAGAATGGTACTTTCCTGGCTGAATTGTGCCAAGTGTAAAGTTTGGTGGAGGGGGGGTTATGGTGTGGGGTTGTTTTTCAGGGATTGGGCTTGGCCCCTTAGTTCTAGTAAAGGGAACTCTTAAGGTATCAGTAAACCAAGACATTTTGGTCAATTTCATGCTGCCAACTTTGTGGGAACAGTTGGGGGGGTGGCCCCTTCCTGTTCCAACATGACTGCGCACCAGTGCACAAAGCAAGGCCCATAAAGACATGGATGAGCAAGTTTAGGGTGGAGGAACTTTACTAGCCTGCACAGAGTCCTGAAATCAACCCCACAGAACACCTTTGGGATAATATACAGCGGAGACTGCAAGCCAGGCCTTCTCGTCTGACATCAGCCTTCCCAGAAGAGTTGAAGCTGTTATAGGTGCAAAGGGTGGACCAACTCAATATTGAACCCTACGGACTAAGACTGGGATTCCATTAAAGTTCATGTGCGCGTAAAGGCAGGCATCCCATTTGGCAATATAGTGTATGTTATTATTACTATTATTATTTGTATTATTAAAAATATTACCTACTTATATGAGAAGCCATGCTGTCTTTTCTTGTATAAGCTCCTAGTTATGGTGATCATCTTAATTCTTTCTTGGATTATTTCTGTTGATACTTTCAGCATTCATCAGTAATTGTAAGTTGTCAAATGTGAGCTATTTTTCAGCAGTATAGGTATGAAGATCTTGTGCATTATGTTACTCTTACATTTGACAGAGGTCATTCTTGGGAACGCCCCAACACCTCTTCAGGTTTAGCTTCCACAGTTGTCAAGGGATTGTGTTGCATCCCTTTGGAGTGCATTAAGGTGGCAATTTTCGGATTAGCTTTTTTTCTCTCTTTGACTAGCATGAAATGCTCCAGCAGTTCATCTGGGAATGCATTATACTTTTGTATTACAGATCTTCAATTAAATCAGGCCAAAAAGAACACAAGCCTCTGGCATCCTCTTTTAGAGATAATGGCATTTTGGCTCATTTAAGATCTTAGTATAGTCCTCTTATAGGCACTTCCTGACCAAAACAGGTTGTGTTTGTTTTCAGATTCACCATGACTGACAGATACATTACAACTGCCCCTAATTGCCCCTTCCAAAATGACAATCTATTGTCTATGTTCTCTAATGTTACTAGAAAGTAGTACAGAGATGTTGCTGATTTAGCATGATACACCTAAAACAAATTTCTATTTATTATGTGCTACTTGATGATTCTTTACATCACTTTTACAGAAACTATCACACAAGACCTGGCCTTAGGGAATCTGAAAGTAATGTATTTAAGTAAAAGAAAGTTAAGAAGGGTTGTTATGACACATTTGCAAATTAGTCCTTAGTTAACAATAAAGATACATGATCCATAAAGTTAAGCAATTTTTTTTTGAATGATATGTAGATTTAAAATTATTTCAGAGGAGTAATCAATCGAAGGCAGCCATCTGTAGACTGAATGAACATTGTGGGGAAATTAGGAGAATTTACTCAGAACTAGTACTGTGCTTATTGGCCAAATGTTCATGAACCCTTGATTTGCCATTGATGAGTTCATTTCATTATCATTAGTGATGTTTCACATCCTAAAATAAATGATTTAGTTCCATAAATCTAGCAATAGTAAAAGTGACTTTTTCATTGAAGTAAAAACTTTCATTCAAAACCTTACCATGAAGGTGTGTAGGCATCATAAATTCTGTGAATTGACAACCAAGCCAAAAGAACTCTGTTAGGGTTTTGGCAAGCATATATGTAGACTGAAGAATGACATGCAGAATTTTCAGTTGAGGCCCGATGCCTGCAGCCAGACCTTTGGGTGAAACCTCCCATGTAACTAATATGACTTCACACAGTTTTTAAAGCTTTGCATCATCTATATCCTAGTGTAGCCTCAGCAACTGCAGATTGAAAGATTTTAAACATTTTGTAACTCTCAAACTCAAACAAAGGTGGTATTGCAGGCACCTCTGTCCCTATCACTTGCTCAAGGGTAGAAGTTTACATTAACTGCCGCTCATTGCGTCCATCAACCTCTTAACTGTGGCTAGGCTCTGAACTACCTCCTCTAAAATGGTATACTTCACATTCAAACCATCTGGCGTCCTGCACACACAGGTATGAATTTCATCAGGTTAAAGACGGCCAGATACCAGCTCTTGTGCACTACTTACTAGTTTTATTACAGCAGAGTATAATTGTCACAACAGGGTACTATAAATGCCATCAGGTCACTCTGCAACTCCCTCAATCTGTCATACATATACCACCAATCTCTAGTTCCTTTCCTACTAAGTCACTCTGCTTTTCATCTTTTAAACCATTCTAATGCAGCTTTAAATAAGACATATTGGGGGTTATTTTCTAAAGCTTGACAGTGCAAAAATCTGGTGCAGCTCTGCATAGAAACCAATCAGCTTCCAAGTTATATTGCCAAAGATTGATTCAAAAAGCGGAAGTTAGAAGCTGATTGGCTACCATGCACAGCTGCACCAGATTCTGAGTGCACTGGTTTTAGTAAATCCCCCCCATTTAGTCCTTTCTAAGTAACAGTGTACCAAGGCTACATCAAATGTAATATATTGCGATACAGTGGAGGTTTACTTTCAGGGGAGACTTTTCCTTGACTCCTTGACTTTTTAGCCACACTTAGTACTACAGATAAGTTTTGCCTTTACACTTCTTTGTAGCCCTGACCAGGGGTGGACTGACAACTCATGGGGCCCCCGAGCAAAAGGGGATCATGGGGCCCCTGTGTCCTTGCCCAAACTCAAAAAAGCCTATGAAAAAGGTACCAGGGGCATCTCATGGGGCCCCCTACAGACCCCGGGCCCTCGGACAGTGCCCGAGTTTCCAAATGGTCAGTCCGCCCCTGGCCCTGACTTACTTTTACATTCTAGAACACTAGTGATAAATTCAGCTCTACTTTGCAAGCTCTTTTGGGGATTCAGTACAGAAATCTTATTGAGAGCAAACACAAATGAAGCAAGTAAGAGGAATTTACAACTGCTTGGAGTAAACTGCATCCATATTGGTACAACAGCACCAAGCAACTGGCAAAAGCACTGTCTAAAACAGAAAAAATTACCGCTCTATCATTTTCCAAGTTTGTTGTGTTACTGCCCTAAATGCATCAAAAGTATTATATACACTCACTGGCCACTTTATTAGTGCTAGTGCCAAGAAAATATCCCCCACACCATTACACCACCGCCTGAACCATTGATTTCATGTTGTTTAACCTCCCTAGCAGTATGAATATGTCCATATTTCTGTGCTGAAAGCGGTACATTTTTTTGCATGGAAATATGTTGTTTTTTTTATTGTAGGCCTGTAATTTTTAGGAATAACTCACTGAAATCTGTCCGAACAAGAGTCTAGTAAACATTCCGGGTATGATAAAACTTGAAACACAAAATCATAAATTGTAATTTAATAAATAATCATAAAAAATAATAATATAATAATACATTTAATTCAATAATATAATCAAACCAAAAAACACTGAAATTTGAAATATAGCGGCAAGTTCGCACATCGCTGAGCTCAGTCGCAGAATCGTTTTCAGTGTCTGATGACGAATTTCCCCACGAATCATTATCACTCAATTCTGCAAGTGGTTCTGATTTACTAGCACTGTTCTCTAGCTGGTCTAAAACCGCTTTTGACATAAAGGGACGCTTTTTGGATGCCATGGACTTTTCTAAGTTTCCAGGAAGAAAGAACAGTACAAATATAGGCAGGGCACAGGACAAAGCACTAGGGACAAAATGTATGTGAAATGCTTTGAAACAGTAATGTTTTACTATGTAATATTCGTTTATTAGAAAATTACAGTTTTTAAAATTTTTAAATTTGCCTCCGGTTCCGACCCCCGTACGTCCCGAGGCTCGCAGGTTCTGGAACATGGAAGCCAGATGCTGGCATCGGCCAGAGGAGATGGGCGGGAATGCTGCAGGGGACGCATCGCGGGAGCGAAGGACAAGGTAAGTGCTGCAGGGAATCCCTGAGCAACGCCGCATGGTTAGGCCGAGTGTAGCTCGGGGTTACTGATTTTGGTACCGAAACTTTACCCCGAACTACACTCAGGAATACCGCCAGGGAGGTTAAGCCAAATTCTGACCCTACCATTTGAATGTCGCAGCAACCAGTTTGTCCATTCTCCTCTGACCTCTGACATCAACAAGGCATTTTCGTCCACACAACTGCCGCTCACTGGATATTTTCTATTTTTTGGACCATTCTCTGTAATCCCTAGAGATGGTTGTGCGTGAAAATCCCAGTAGATCAGCAGTTTTTGAAATACTCAGAACAGCTGTCTGGCACCAACAATCATAACACATTCAAAGTCACTTAGATCCCCTTTCTTCCCCATTCTGATGCTCGGTTTGAACTTCAGCAAGTTGTCTTCACGTCTAGATGCCCAAATGCATTGAGTTGCTGCCTTGTGATTGGTTGATTATGTTGTAAAGCACTGTGTAAATATATAAATCCTGTATAATAATAATTGAACAGATATACTTAATAAAATGGCTGTTGAGTGTAGAGCTTCATGAGAACAGTCCACCGTGTGTAAGAAATTTGAAAGGAAAAATATTCCACATAGACGGCTAGTAGGTAACTATATTTTTTATTCTTTTTTATTTATTGTGTTCTTTTTTCCCATTTATTCAATATTTTACTACACTGATTATTCTCCTCTGTTTCTCTTTTTTTAATCTAATATGCCATATTTGGGACAATCAAGTAAATATACAATAAGGCTTGCTTTTCAAGAATTACCAGATACGGTTATTTACCTTACCTGCTAAACCTCTCCCAAGTTTAACTACAAAAGACTGAGATCCAGAAAACAATAAAGGATTCATACTTTCACTAAGAGGACCTTTGTGATGTGGAAATCAGTAACAGGCAGGGGCTTGCATGGCTCATTGGATATAGTGTGGCACCAGATAATAAAAGGTGTGATCCTATATATTATTATCTATTAACCTCACATTTGATAGAAATTTCCC